TCAGCTCCCCCGCATGCGTCTGCCTTCACTAGTGTCTCTCTCGTCCTAGTTCCCTTACGCTGCTCCACCTCCTCAGGAACCCGTGAAGACCCTCAGGAGCTTAATCAACATCCGCAAGGACACCCTGCGCCTCGTCAAGTGAGTCCTGCTGCGGGCAGGATGGGGCTGGGCGCCCCACGAGCCATGGGGAGGGGAGGGCCTGTTTCCCCACGAGCCATGGGGAGGGAAGGGTCTGGCTGGGTGCTCCGGGGGATGCTGAGCACAGAGATGCTCGGATCTGAGCACAGGTGGACAGAGGGGACAAGCTATCACTGCCCAAATGTGCCCCTTCTCCTCCTGGCATGGGTGAGCTTCCCGCCTGGGCGCTGGGATTAAAGGAGCTTAGTGCTGCCTTTGAAGTGCTTTGCCTTTTCTTCCTCCCAGTCTTCCAAAGGCTTTGTTGGAGGGAGTCTGGGGGTTGCAGCCCACATGGGAGATTCAGGATTGCAGCTGAAATCTGCCTGCAGAGCTTCCCGGTGTGCAGGCTTGACCTTGGGCATGCCGGGCTCTCCTGGCATGCCTCAGTTTCCCCTGGGGGAGGCGGCCACCTTCTTCTGGGTCCTTGTGCCAGGGGACCAGTTCTGGGGCACCCCCAGCCCACCCCGAGAGGTGCCCATCTCCCAGACACTCTGTGCTCTCCAGGTGCTCAGAAGAGGTGAAGACCCCGGGGGAGGAGGTCAGCAAAGCCAAGGTGCACTACAACGTGGAGTTCACCTTCGACACGGACACTCGCGTGGCCATAACCATCTACTACCAAGCGACCGAGGAGTTCCACAATGGGGTGGCCAGGTGAGGAGCCCCAGCCTGGTGTGTCCCCCCTGCCCTGCAGCCTGGCCTGTCCCCCTGGCCAGGGTGTGGGGCTTTGCTGGTGGACACGGAGCCTCTCCTCCCCTGAGCATCTCCCCTCCTTGGGGCATGAAGCAGTGCTGAGGATAGAGGGGGGCTTCTCGCCTCCCCTGAATGCCACCAGCAGGTCCTTGCCAGCCCTTGCCACCTCCTTCCTCATCCCATCCTCCCCCTTCTTGTTATCTCCAGGTCAGAGCTGAGACCAGGAGAAATCACTTCACCTCCTGGTCCCCACCAAGTTGTCTGCAGGGTTGTCCCTGTCCCCTCCTGTCCTGTGTTGTTTGCCCTGGGGGTATTTGAGTCCATGGATTTTTGTAGTCCTTTTTAAGACTTCCTGCCTCATCCCCAAGAGGCATCCAGGAGGAGGGGTGTGACCGCCCTGCCTCCCATCTTCCCGGCATCCCTGTGAGCCGGGAGACTGGGAGGAGCGCGGGGACACCCGCGGTGCCCCTGATTGTCCTCTCCTCGGGACAGCTATATCCCCAGGGACACCAGCCTGCAGTCGGAGACCGTGCACTACAAGCGGGGGGTGTGCCAGCAGTTCTGCGTGCCCTCCCACACCGTGGACCCCTCCGAGTGGAGCGAAGAGGAGGTGGGTCCCTCTGGGCATCGGCCCTGGGGTCGGGTGTGGTTATGGATGTGGGGTGAAGCCTCCTTCGCTGCTCCATCTCACCGAGCCTCTCCTCCCTTCTCTCTCCAGCTGGGCTTCGACCTGGACCGGGAGGTGTACCCCATGGTGGTGCAGGCGGTGGTGGATGAAGGAGAGGGTGAGGACGGGGGGTTCTTCCTGGGTTGGTCTTGCCCAGTTGCTGGCACCATGGTGCCAGCCCTTGCAGCAACCACGCACAGCCTCCTGCTTCTCCCCGCTGCTGCCGTGGCCCTGCCCACCCTCTGAGCGCCGTCCGTCCCTTTGTGTCTTGCAGAGCACATCGGGCACTGCCATGTGCTGCTGGCCACCTTTGAGAAGGTAAGTGCCAAGCTGGGACTGTCCTCCCCCTCCTACCCTCTCACCCACTGGGTGCAAGAGCCTGGAGAGACCTGGTGGGGCATGGGATGGTGCTGCTGGTCTGTGGGGGTATTTGGGGGCTGCTTATGAAATTCTGGGACTACACCCTAATTTTGAGCACCCTCTTCTGAGGCATTTGCTCTCAACTCCATCTTCCTTGCTCCAACAAATCTTCAGCCTTGTGGTGTGTGTGAGAACCCACAGCTACCTGGTACTGGGGTGTCAGGGAAAACCAGAACTGCTGCAAAATGGGCTGGCTGGGAGTGAGATGGGACTGATGGCAGCTATGGAGTGGGTGGGTGCTCAAGCACAACAGACCCTGGGGTGCTCAGCCCTGGTGCCCACCCATGTGCTCTCCTCTCTCCAGCACAGCGATGGCACCTTCTGCGTGAAGCCCCTCAAGCAGAAGCAAGTGGTGAGTGAACAGGTGTCCCCGAGGTGGTGGCACCTACACCCCACTCGCCCCTGTGGGCAGGAGGGTGTCGGGAAGCAGGAGACTCTGGTGTGGGCAGCATCCTGCCCCTGGCCTGCTCCTGCCTCCCAGGGAGCTTTCTTGAGCGCAGTTTCGAGTGTGTCACTGCAAAGAGTGACCTGGGGTGTTGGGATGAGGGGGGCTGGCCTCAGGAGGGGGCCAGGACCTGTGGTGCCTCAGAGGGATGTGCCTCTGCTCCTCACCCCTTCCCCATGGGGTTGCAGGTGGATGGTGTGAGCTACCTTCTGCAGGAGATCTACGGCATCGAGAACAAGTACAACACGCAGAACTCCAAGGTAGGTGCCTCCATCCCAGGGGGCTCCCTCACCCCCTCTCCCCTTCCCCCAGCACAAGTCCTGCCACTAAAACATGCTCAGGGCAAGAGGCTGCGGCACGACATGGAGCTGCTGGGGTGTGCAGGCACCTGGGGGCACTTCGTGTTGGCACTGAAGCTGCTGGAGGCAGAAAGCTGAAGGGTTGAGCCTTTCCCCCTGGCCCTTTGTGGCCCTTTGGGAGGGTGGTGGCTGGATCTTGCTGGTTTAGGAGACGACTGTGTGGCTCAAAGCATGGCATGTGGCTCAAAGCATGGGATGTGCCTCACCCTGGGCTCTATATATGTAAAAGCTGGGGTGAAGGATGCAAACCTCTCTGAGGTGCCTGCCACCTCCGGCCCTATCTCCCAGCCTCCAGGAGGGGAGGAATCAAGTCCCGGGGTTGTCCATCAACAGCGGGCAGCCCAGGGCCGCAGGCGGGACCCCGCAGCGACCTCTCAGGGCACCCACTGGGTATTTTAGGTGACCCACCCTGAGGCCACGAGGGCTGGGGTGGCCGGAGGTGAGCGTCTGTGGTCTCTTCCCATGGGGCAGGTGGCCGAGGACGAGGTGAGCGACAACAGCGCCGAGTGCGTCGTCTGCCTCTCGGACGTGCGCGACACCCTGATCCTGCCCTGCCGCCACCTCTGCCTCTGCAACACCTGCGCCGACACCCTGCGCTACCAGGCCAACAACTGCCCCATCTGCAGGCTGCGTAAGGGCTCAGGGGGCACGCTGGCAGCTCGGGGAAAAGGAGCTGGCATCTCCCGTCCTCGGGTTTTTGGCTCCCTGCAGCCCCACGTTCAGCGATGGCTCAAGTTAATGGGCTGAAGTTGGGCCAGGGGAGGTTTAAATTGGGGTTTAGGAAGGATTTCTGTGCTGACGGAGTGGGGAGGTGTTGGCTTAGAGTGCCCAGGGAGGTGGGGGAGTCGCCATCCCCGGAGAGGTTTAAAAAACGTGTGGATGTAGCAATTCAGGACACCTTAGTCTAGCTGAGAGGTGCCCCCGCCCATGGCAGGGAGGTTGGATTAGATGATCTCTAGGGTCCCTTCCAACCCAAGCCATTCTGTGACTCAGGACCTGGATTTAGTGGTCACGGTAGAGTTGGGTGGTGGTTGGACTTGATGATCTTAGAGGTCTTTTCCAACCTGAATGAGTCTATGATGCGGGGATGCCCCTCCTGGGAATGGGTGGTATTTTGGTGGAGGGGTTGCTGTCTCCTCCTGGTGCCCAGTTTTCATCCTGCCTTTCACCTGTGCTGTCACAGCTTTCAGAGCCTTGCTTCAAATCCGAGCCATGAGGAAAAAACTGGGACCTCTCTCGCCCACCAGCTTCAACCCCATCATTGCCTCGCAGACCTCCGACTCCGAGGAGCACTCGGTCAGTGCTTGGCTGAGCCTGGTCCACCCGGGTGGCCGTGGGACTCCAGCCCTCTGTACCCCCTCTGGCTGAGGAGGTGTGGGCATGCATGTGCTTCCCAGGGTTTATTGGTTGCATGCAAGCAGGTCTTACAAAAAAAAGAGTAAGTTTTGTATTGCAAAATAATGTGCTTTACTTGAGTGGAAAGTGTGTGGATTTGGGGCTTTCATTTGTGCAGGTAGCTTGTGTGTTCTTTGGGTTTTAACTTCTCCCCAGGGCACCCCAACACTGCTGGGAGCAGGGGTGGGGAGTGGGGGCCTGAAATGTCCTGGAGGCCCCTCATCCCGTCTCCCCACTCTCTCCCCAGTCCTCAGAGAACATTCCCCCGGGATACGAGGTGGTGTCTCTGCTGGAGGCCCTCAACGGGCC